ATAGTCCAGGGCTACAGTAATGTTTTCTGGTATTTGTTCACATTGGATTTGGTTTGGTTTGGGTTTCTAAGATCCCTTAGAAAGCCTCTGACCTGCAAGAAGGCCTCAGGGACTGACCCCTGGGGATGTCACTAGGGGCATAGCAGATGGGACCGTTGAAGCTGCACTACCCTCCTTCCCATAAGCAAACAAGTCCAGCTGAGGAGAGCAAGTGTCCTGTACTGGAGGGCTGCTCCCTGCTGCCTCCTTGAGTGTCCTCTGTGACCACAGGTGGCTGAACTTCTGCCTGCAGTGTGCATGGCACTGGGCTTCAGTCCTGTTCCCCTTTCTCTGGGAATGTCACACTGAGGTTGATGGGAAGAACCCCACCCTGTCCTTGGCAGCTCTGTGTCCCTTGGCCTGTTCTCCAGAGGGTGCTTCTCACTGTCTGTCCCTTTCCTTCTATACGTGACTTGGCCACAAGGACCAGGACAGCCACTCTCTCCTGATCACCGAGAAAGCCCTTGGGAACCCTTCATAACTGCTAAGACAGATGAAAGGGAGAGCAGGGTCTGTGCTCTGTCTAGTGGAATGCCAAGGCAGGGGCTGCTCTGGCCCATCTGGACCATGACGTTCCCATTCCTGCTGGACCTCTTGGCCTCTCCAGACCTCCCCTGTTGATACCCTCTTTGGCTATTGGTGCTTCCCTTTTCCTGTTCACTGCTTCACTGATCTCCTATCCCCAAACCCAGAACTCCTGCAGATGCACGACGGCTCCAGCGTCTATCACTTTGAAGCACAGCTGAGGAGCTCAGAGCCTCTCCTTCCACTTCTCTCCCCAGAGGAATTAGGAAAACTTTTGGGTCAGAACCAAACCAACCCAAGGCCAGCTCTTCAGCCTGCCTCCCTCCTCTCAGTACAAGACAAAAATGTTTATTTTGTCTCAGAGGAGTTTGATGTTTCAGGGTTTAATGATGAATCTCTGCCATGTTTCATCTTCCCTTGCAGTAGCTCCCAACAACTCTGACAGGGTCAGAGCTCTTTAAAGCATCTTCAGGAGATGGTTGCCACGGAGACTGGAAATTGGTCTCAGGGACAGACTGTGCTACCTCTTGAGTGGGGGGGAGGGAAGTTTCTGGGCCATGCGTGGACATTCAGACCAAGCATCATTAATGTTAATAGAGGAAATGCAGCCACGTGGAAAGCAAGGCAGAGTGGCTAATTAGATCTGAGGCCCCATGACCTCCCTCTCCCACGGCTGCAGCCCTTTTGACTCCCCAGCAGGAAGTGTGGCCTGTGTGCAGAGTCTGGGTCGCCTGCTAAATTGCATTTCTGCCAGGGGAGGAGAGCAGAATGGATGAGCTCTGGCACTTGCGCCCTCCTCCTCACAGGTGGAGTTGGCTTCTCCTGAGCTGGGTTTGGGCACCATCTGGATGGGGTCTCAGAGGTTTGGATGCAGGAATCTGTTGGCTCTTAGCCAAGATGGTGACCCATGATGACATCTAGGAGGTGGCTTCTTTTCCCTTTTGCCTTCTCATTTCCCAAGAAGAACTTGTTGGAAGGGAGGCATTTGAAGAAGCCAACAGGGTGACCTCTGGGTGAGGGGAAATGAGAGAGCTCAGCTAGCACCCACCCACCCTCCCTCCTAATTTGGTCACACTGGGGACAAAAGTTCCCTCAGTCTCTTGCGCTGCTTTCCAAGGATGGAAGAAAGAGGGCTCCCTCCCACTCCTTTTTCTCCACACCCATGCTGGCAAACACTTCTCTGGGGACAAGGCCACATGGAGTGGTACAGCTGCAAGGGGCTCAGGTGCTGTTTGGAAGGTGCAGGGGGAAGAGACCGTCAGGTGCTGCTCTGAATGTGGGCTGCAGCCTTGGGAACTGGCAGAAAGGTGACATATCTCAGGCTGCAGGTGGAGGAGGAGACGTTTGTCAGTAAGCTCAACCTGGAGCCAGCATCTTGAGCCACGTTTTATTTTTAAAAAAGAAAAAGAAAAGTGGAACCGTAAGCGGTTCCTTTTGTAATAAATAGCTCTTGTTTTGAATGCCATGTTGCTTGTCATTCTTGTATTTTTCTGAACCTTACTTTCCCTCTGGCTGCCAGAGGGGCCTCCTTAAGAAGAGAAGAAGGTGTGAAGGGCAAGAACTGTCTCAACGTTGTCATGCCTGAGGCACTTCTCATCCCAGCAGAGGCTCTGGCCAGCCAGGGCACTTGGGCCTTCCCCAGGACATAATTACTTGAATAATGTTGGCTATTTCAGTTTACTTATTCTAAGATAAGTAGGAAGCTGACCTTGTGTTTTTTTCTTGTTTGACTGCCCAGACAGTATAGCCCTTTGTCCCCTTCTGAGTGGCCCAGCATTGTAGCAATTTGCCATTTTCTTTTTCTTTTTTTTTTTAAAGAGAGAGTGAGAGAGGGGGACAGACAGAGAGAATTTTAACATTTATTTATTTTATCTTAGTTCTCGGCGGACACAACATCTTTGTTGGTATGTGGTGCTGCTGAGGATCGAACCTGGGCCGCACGCATGCTAGGCGAGCGCGCTACCGCTTGAGCCACATCCCAGCCCCAATTTGCCATTTTCTTAACAGAGGCTCTGTCCTGATGGGATCTTGTCATCTGGAATGACATGAGGGATCTGAAGGATGTGAGAGTTGACTTATGTGTTGGAGGAGATAGGAGGGAGTGTTACCACATGGGGGAAGTTGGGGGTCTTCTGGGTTCTTCTGACTGCTCCCCTCAGGACCAAGAGTGGTTGGAGGCAGGCTGGGGAGGAGGGCAGGTCGTGCAGATCCTCAGGAGATGGAAAATGCCTGGGACAGACAGGTCAGAAACAGATTCAATACTTAGAATGGCACAGCTTAGTTTATGGATTTTTTATTTTATTTTTTGGTACCAAGGATTGAACCCAGGGGTGCTTAACATGAGCTACAACCTCAGCCCTTTTTTGCCTTTTATTTAGAGACAGGGTCTCACTGAGTTGTTTACACCTTGCTTTTGCCGAGGCTGGCTTTGCTCCTCCTGCCTCAGCTTCCTGAGCTTCTGGGATTACAGGCGTGCCCCACCACGCCCAGCCAGTTCATGGGATCTTTTTTTTTTTTTTTTTTTTAAAGAGAGTGGGGGAGAGAGAGAGAGAGAGAATTTTTTTAATATTTATTTTTTAGTTCTCGGCAGACACAACATCTTTTGTTTTTGTATGTGGTGCTGAGGATAGAACCCGGGCCGCACGCATGCCAGGCGAGTGCGCTACCGCTTGAGCCACATCCCCAGCCCCAGTTCATGGAATCTTGACACGCCTGTGACATTGATTCCTCTTAAAGGCCTGGTGAAGTCAATGGTGTTCTTGTCTCCATTCTACCTGGGAGAGATTAAATTCCCTGCTTGAGGTCCTACAGCTAGGAAATAGTAGAGGCAGGATTAGCACCAAATTGGGCATTCTTGGCTTCTCCAGCCTGGACTGGCAGCACCTCCTGAGAGCACTCTGGCAGCGCTGGATGCCCTGAGGTGAGGTATCCCGGCTCGGTGTGTTCCTGTGTACATTCTGTGTAGCGCATCTGCAGCTCTCCTTGGAACAGGTTTCTCCTGGTTCCCCAGGTGTGCCCAGACCAGTGGTGGTAGATGATTAACAGCAAGTTTTCTTTGAGCTACGAGAAGCCCTGATGGTAACATTTGCCATTTTCCAATTCTCCCACCTCCGCCTATTTCAAGCTACCAACTTGATGTCACTGAATGAGAAGTTGGAAAGAGATGTAGGCATCTGGCTTTCTAAGCCCTGTCAGAGCTGATTCTAGCACACCTCTGACCCAGACCCAGGGGCTTTGACTTGGTCTGAACCGTGTACACTGCTCTTGGTCTTGGTGAGGGAACAGTGGAGAGGATGGGCCGGGGGTCCCCCTGTGGTCAAGTGCTGGCCCTAAGTGACCTCGGGCTGGTTACTTAACCTCTTTGCCTCCTTTCCTCAACTGGTTCCATCGACTGTTGTGAGGATGCAGAGTTAATGAGCACAGTGTCACTGGTGCTCAAAACTAGCACTTTGCTGTTACTAATGATACATTGCTCTCAGCGACAGTGCTGGCTGAAGAAAAGCACTTGAACGTTCATCCAGGCTACAGCCTACGTGCATCTCCGCAGGTGCCCCACAGGGAGGAGAGTTCCAGCCCCTCAGAAGTGAGTTTAGTCACTACATGTCCTGGATGGGACACGCCACTTGGGCTCCTTCAGCCACACCTGATTCTCAGGCCCTTCTCCAAGGGAAGCAGAGATTGGAGTACACTTGGCCCTCTTTCCTGCCTTGTGGCTCTAGGAAAGCAGAGGAGAGCCGTGGGTTTGGGCCCACTCTACCACTTCCCAGCTAAGGCCAGTAGCTCCTGTGAGCTCATCAGACTGCTGACCCTATCCGAGGGAGGGGGGTGGACTGTTGATAGGGAGTGCAAGCTGGGTAGAGCAGGTGCCTTCACAGAGCACCAGGCACCTGAGCACTAAAGGGCAAAGGTCACCAAAGTCTCATGTGGCCTTTCCACATGGTTTTCTGTTCCCACAGAGCTATGGGATCCCAGGTTGGAAATTTGGTTCCTCCTTCCTTCAGCTTTAGTCCCTTTGTACTCTTGTGTGGGGACCCCTCAAACTCTTTAGACTCCAGGCTGCCCCAAAGCCTTGCTCTCCTGCTCCTGCGCAGGGAGATACTGGGAAGATGGGGAAGAGTGTGTACCCAAACTCTGCCCTGGAGGAGGGGGAGCAGCCAGATGGCCTCATGGGGCTTGGCCTGGATCAGGACTAGTCCTAGTCCCTTAGTCCTGATTCAGGATCAGAAGTTTTAGTTTTTAGCACTCATATCTAGCATAGGGCTGGCCATGAAGCCATAACCTGTTCATAACTAATCTTCGTAACTGTCTGTGATCCATGGGATCAAAGGAGGTGGCCTCTGGAGACCTTGCCACCCAACCCCCCTATGGTATAGCCGCTGGAACTAAGGCCCAGAGATGGGGGCAGAGTGAGAGGAGAGCAGCTCAGATACTCAACATTTATGAAAAGTAAGATGAGGATGAAAATAGGCCTGTTCTCCCTAACCTAGGCTGCTGAGTCTGGGCAGCTGAAGGAATTTTCATGGTTGAAAAGTTTGGTTTGGACAGGTGGCCAGGGCACACCTTGAGGAGTTGGCATGAGAGTTTGACCTGGACTAGTACTATTCGGGGAAAAAAAAAAGTCATGATTTTTAATAATCCATGGAGCCATGGAATGAATGGTAGAGCTGAACCCCTTCTACATCTGTAACGCGTCTACTGCCCTGGCTGGGATTGCAAACACAACTCAAAGATTTCCAGAAATGGGGGTCTCAGGAAAATCTGGGTCTGGATGGAAATGACTGTGATCTACTCCTAAGCTGAAAGCTCTAGTAGTTCCCAAGGTGCCCCTGTCAGACTCAGAACTTGGACAACCAGACAGCCTAGTCATAAGGTAGATGACCTGGTGCCCACTGGCTCCACATCCTGACAGAAAGAAACAGTAAATGGGCACGTTTGAGCAAAGACCATGTGCTCACAAATCAACAAACTCCAGTCTCCAGGCCGTGTTGGAATGGGGCTTGTTGGAGAGGTGGCCACAAGCTGCGTCTTACTAAGAGGAAGAATCAAATTTAACGCAGTCTTTTTGGGGCTCCTCGCCCTATGTAGTAACTAGTCTCACTAGTTTCCGAGTGACAAGCTGAGGCCAAGAGAGCCTGAATGATTTGTTCGGCTCTAAACCTGGACATTTCCAAGGCCTCCAGGTCGTCCCTGGCCAAGGCGGTGGCAGAGGGAGTGTGCGCCCTGATGGACAGGAGGGGGACCGGGCCGCGGTTGCTTTAAAGGGCGGCTCTAGAGCTGCTGGGTGCAGGGCGCAGCAGCCCAGCGGGGTCCCCGGAAGCGCCAGCAGGACTGACACCGGGGGCGCTTCCACCTTTGGCGGGCTGCGGGCATCTTCTCTTGGCTCCAGGCCAGGCGAGGAGCGGCTGTTGGGCCCCGCCCGGCAGAGGCAAGGGGCCGTAGGCGCAGGGGCCCGCGTGGCCGCGGAGATGGCGTGGCACGTGCGGTGACGGCGCCCCGAGGGTCCCAGCGCTGCGCCTCGCGTCCCGGAGAAAGCATGGAGCGCCCAGAGCCCGAGCTGATCCGGCAAAGCTGGAGGGCGGTGAGCCGCAGCCCGCTGGAGCATGGCACGGTCCTGTTCGCCAGGTGAGGGCTGCCGGAGCGCCCCGGGGGTGCGGGTGGGCGAAGGGGTGCCGCGCCAGGAGCGATTTCAAGGCAGCTGCAATGGGATCGGAGGAGGAAAAGCCGGCCCACTGCGGTGACTCTGGGGGGCCTGCCAGATGTGCGCCAGAAGAGCGCACCGCGCGGCAACGGGTGGCGCACCCTTTTCTGCTCTTCTCTGGGGCATGGGCGCATCTTAGGAGCCAGCGCAGCACACCCTGCTCTCAGCTGGCCTCGCTGGCGACAGGTGGGATCCTCCACTCGAATCTCTCTGGTTACACCTGGGTGGGCGGAAGCTGGTCCCGCGCTGTGTCCCCTCCTCGACCCTGCACTTCCTGAGTGTTTCTTGGGTGGGGACAGCAGGGGTGCTTACCGCCGTCGGTAGGAGGAGACTGGAGCATCCCGAAGGCCGGTGTGGGTAGGGTGTGCCAGGCGCCTGGCAGGCAGGGCGAGCTCCTGCAACGGGGCCCCAGGAGTGCTCACTCCCAGCAACCGGCAGGATAAACCCTTCTGGGAAAGGACCAGGTTAGGACCCGAAAACCTCCAGAGTAGGGGTGACAAACACCCAAGTCTCACCACCAGGAAGAAGGGTAGGGGGTGTGCAGGTCCTACGGGGCAGAGAAAGCTAATTTTCAGCCTCACCCTGGGTCTCTCTCTGGAACCCCTCTACCATCACCAGTGGGACCACACTCTACATCCGGGTTTTTCAGGAAACTTGGCTTCATAGGCCAGCCCAAAACTTCTGACCAAGTTTTGCAACCCCCTCAGACCCAGTCAATACATAACAGAGCTGCAAGAATTACACAAAAGCATGAACCCTCAAGAATAAAGCTGATAGCTTCTGGTTGTGCCTCCTGGATTTCCCCAAGATCACCCCCCCCCCCATCTGCTGTGGCTCCACTACTTTCAAGCTGTGTGACTTTTAGCAGGTTGTTAGCCTCTCTGGGATTCTGTTTCCTCCTTTGTAGAATTGGTCTAAGGCACTCACTGCTTAAAATTATGAGGGATACAAAATTACAAGTCAACCACCTGTGAAGTACTCAGTGTTCTGTAAGAGTAAGGATTTTGTTTTTGCTAGAATCATTGGTACTCAGAGCTTCCTCAGACGTGATGAGACTGAGAAGTTCTAACCAAGAGCAGGGGTGGGGGAAGGTCCCCTCCTCAAGGTAGCTCCAGGTTTCTTACTTGAGGGTGCCTTCCTGTCCCAAACCTCCTCCTTAATATTAATGGAGGGGCCACTGTGTGCCAGGTAGTGTAAGAGGTCTGGGGACTACTGTCCTCTCAGGGATGCCCTTCAGGGTCTGGGGGGAGGTGAGGAGGGCATTGGCAAGGTGGCAGTGCCAGGAGGGAGGGTATGCTGTGGTTGTTGGCCGCCACTGAAGCTCAGCTT